TCTCCTCTTCTCTCCTCTTCTCACCTGCAGTGCTTTCCCAGAAGCCCTGCTAGACAACAGGGCAGCACAGACGGTGGAGAGCAAGACTGAAAAATGACAGCTTTTTTTTTTTTGAAATGGCAGCTTTTTTTCCCCCTAGAATGTCCAATAGCCTGTAATCAAAAAGCTCCCCACTTTCTCTCTGGTGCTAGGATCCCTCATATAGGTACTTGGGTTAGTATCTTTGACCTGATTCTTTATTGTATGGGGGGAGGGGTGCCTCCACCCTGTGACTCTTCCTGTATGCCATGAAACCCATGAACATTCACAGGCTACAAAATACAATAAGCATAATCATGTTCAAATGGTGTATGGCAAGAAGGATAGTTTTCCAACTGCAAAAGAATAAATAAAATTTTAGAAAATTTTCTGTGCCATAATTTGTAACTTGTTAATGGTTTGTTCCCCCAAAATCTGTAGCTTTCCTTAGCTCTGAGGGAGATATCTCCCTTAGATATCCCTTTACAACGCACATCATTCTGCCAGTTACAAATAATCACAACCAAGATTTCACACGTTTGACAGGAATTCATATCCAGTGTCACAAAAATCTGCAAAACCATGTACATTTACTTCTTCCTAATAACAAGAAGTATTGGCACTTCCCCAGGACACACACCATTAAAACAATACTTAAACACATGGTGGAGAAGATAAAACCCTTCCTAATTTTTGGGCTGGCCATAAACAGGAGATGTTGGCTTTTGTGACTACGTTTCCAGGACTTTGGCCTGGGTTTTACAGCAGCAGCCCATCTCTGGTAAGGACTCAGTGAAGAGATACTGTCAGCAGAGCCTAGCTACATGTTTGATCTGCTGCTTCCTGGATTCTTCAGCGATTACAAAAGTCTGGGTTTTGTTTATTTTTGTTTTGTTTTTTGCCTAGCTATTTACTGAGAAAGGCCAGGGAGGTTACGACACTCTGTGTAGGAGTGATTAATGAGCCACCTCTTTAAGAACCCATCGATCCTCTGGCTCTAGATGATGCTCTTGGACGTTACAGTTACAGTAAGAAGGTGGGACCTCCTTAACCATGTAGAGATCATTCTGAATCACACTCGGGAAAGTGAGGAGACCTAATGAGTGATTTTTGTTTGTTTTAATATTGATTGATTTTTTTTGGCCCTATGTTTATTTTTGATATTCTTAATTAGTAAGTAACTCTACCTTATTTCTTAAAATGGAACTCTCTCCAGACAGAGTCTATGTAGCCCTGGCTGTCCTGGACTTCATTCTGTAGACCAGCCTGGCCTCAGACTCAAAGAGATTCACTTCTCTGCCTTCTGAGAGCTGGGATCAAAGATGTGCTCCACAAAGCCTGGTTGACTATGCCTCACAAAAAAAAAAAAAAAAAAAAGAAAAGAAAAGAAAAGAAAGAAAGAAAGAAAGAAAAAATACTGAGACAGGGCTCACTGTATAGCCCAAATTCAAGTTGCCCTTGAATTCAGGGTCCTCCTGCCCTACCTGCCTAAATAGAGAACTCTGGGTTAGAGGCTTACATCACTATACCTAGATAATGACCATTATCATTCTCCTCCCACCTCATCCACCTAACCTAACTCTCCACTCAGGTTAATGTCAGTGGTCATTTACACAAAGTCTTTCACTAAAGTTCCCACTGAGCAGTTATGAGGTGTGTATCTGTGTGTGTGGTGTCTGTATGAGAGAGAGTGAGTGTGTTTGCTGGAATGGAGCCCCGGAGGTTTTCTGTCTCTTTAACTGCAGTATTAATGAAATATTGAGCTGCAATATGCTTTCTTCATGTTTGCCACTTTCTTACATCTGGTATGTATTAAAGCATAAATACAAGCACGGAGCTGGAGCAGTGGCTCAGTGGTTAGAGCACTCACTGGTCGCTCTTCCAGCGGACCTGGGTTTCATTCCCAGCACCCATGCGGTGACTCACAGAGTTTTAAACTGCAGTCTTGTAGATCTGATGCCCTCTTAAGGCCTCCATGGGCACTGCAAGCATATGGCACATAGGCATATGTGAAGGCAAAACACCATAAATAAAAACAAAGATTAAAAAAGTACAGCCATCCGTAGGAATCGTCAGTGGACATGTTGATTCAGACAACACGGCTTCATTCTAAGTGTTCACCCTAAGCGCGTTGTAGTTAACACACCCTTTTGCTAGTTTTACTGGGATAAAAATGAACACAGAAAACCTACCAGTTGTGAACATGTTACATTGAATTTTAGAGAAACAGTATCTAAAGGCACTTAGCAATTTGCAAGCAAGGAATTACATGCAAAGGGAGTTAATGCAAATTGTGAAGGTCCATTGCACTTTGTTAGTTTTGTGGTGTTGGGGACAGCCTAGCCCACTCTAAATACAAGTTCTACTTGATGGTAGAACTGGTCAGGAGACCCAGCTTTAGAGAGCCACTTGATTTGCTTCACAAACTTGTAAAAATAATGCATTTGGATAAAAATTCAGCAACAACAAAAGCACTGAGAAAAACAACCGGGAAACCTACAAAGAGGGGTATGTTCAAAAATTCCTGGCCAGGACACAAAAATAGATTCCTCTAAATTGAAAAAAAAAAAAAAAAGAAGAAGAAGAAGTCTGAAGTCTGCAGAGCAAAAGTAGGTAAGGAAATGTCTTCCCCCTGGGACATCTGCAGGTTCAGCGGCACACAGGCAATGTCACACTCATGAGGTGCAGGCTGGAGGGCTAGGTTATCCTTGGCTACATAGTAAGTCTGAGGCCAGCCTGGGCTACATGAGACCCTGCCTCAAAAGACATTTAACGTTTGAAATTTATATTTGCAAACTTGATATTAGATTCTAAGCCATGCAGTAATACTAATCTTTCCATCGAGAAACAGCTCAGTTTCATTGTTGTTGTTTATTGGAACATCCTACATTTTCTTGTGTGAGCCTAACCACAGCTTTGCAGTGTAAAGAAAACAAATTATGAAGAAAAATGTCTCCAGTCCAAAGTCTCCTCAGTGTTATCTCTGTCAGTCTCTCTCTCTGTAACAGTTTAACTATGTATCCTGGATAATCTCAGAGTGGAATCTGTCCTACCATGTTTATTTAGTGTCAACACTCACACTTATGGGGATTTCCCTCCTCTTGCCAGTAAGAGACAAACCTAGTGATGACCTGGTGGGCAGGAGCCAGTGCCAGAGACCTGGTGTCTAGAGTGAGACATAACTGTGACCCCGTTAGCAGATTTGAGTGACTCCACAATCCTGAAATCACCTTGCTTTCTGCTGTCAGTGTTTTCTGGTAGAAACTGAGGTGAGCAAGAGTTTCACTGTGTCAGCAGCTTTCCCAGAAGGCTGTTCTGATGTCTTGTGTCACTCCACAATAATACAACCATAGCTGTAGTGCCAGCTCATGCTTGCAAAGCCAGTAAGCATTCGTTTCCATTTGGCCTGTTTTGTTTTGTTTTTCCCTTCTTAAAGAAAATAACAATCAGCAGGCCTTTGCCATGTAGACAATACTGGAGAGTGTGTATGAGTTGTGTTTATTTTGTGAGGTGGACAAACTGAGTGAACATGCTCTTCCCCCCAAAAAAAATTTTTTGCAAAACTTTACCTTTCCTCAAATCAAGATCATCAAGGCTACATTCTTGGATCGTAGTGTGGCATCTAAACAATAACTAAAAACATTTAAAAATCACAAGTTTGGAAATAAATAACATTTACTTCATAGCTCTTGGACTCAAAAGGAAGCTGAGGAAGGTTATAAAGCTTTCACATTGGAAAAGGGTCTGAAAACAGATAAAGTTACTGAATGAAGGGTATAGCTGAGGGGTTGACCTAAGCATTGGCAAGGCCCTGGGCTGGATGTTCACACCACCAAAAAGAAAAAGGAAATAAGAGGAGGAAGGAAAGGAAAAAAGGAAAAAGAAGGGGGAGGAAGTAGAAAGGGGAAAGTAAGAGAGAAATGAAGATGTTAGGGATTCTGATAATGTTTGTGATAAAACCATTGCTTATTAAAATTTGACTCACTTATTTTATGAAATGCAGTGAAAATAAATTACTAGATAAATAAAAATGTAAAAAGCTACCTAAAACAGCAGGTGTGGTGGTGTGTGCCTTTCATCCCAGCACTTGGGAGGCAGAAGCAGGAGGATCCCTGAGTTCAAAGCCAGCCTGTCCTACAAACTGAGTTCCAGGACAGCCAGGGATATACAGAGAAACCCTGTCTCCAAAAACAAACAGTTAAATAAAACAAGGCCCCAATTTTTGCTAGACTCAAAAGGCAAAAACCTTTCATGTTAACAAATATAAGCAAACATAATATAGACAAAAGTTTCTACATGATAGTGCTCAATTTTTGCATTTAATGAAGACTAGTAACAGCTAAGTTGAGGCCCGGTCTCTTCAGTACCACCGATTTATGGAAAGATGTCATCTGTTACCTTAAAATTGTATACACATACAATCTATGATAAGCGAGGTGTAAAAGGAAATAAATATACAGCAGTACTTCTTAAACCTACTGCAAAGACTGCTCCTTAAGGCAAAGCTGGGAAGGAAAGAAAATCCGAATAAATAATTAATACATCTAGACCTGCCCGAAAGGAATGGTGTGCTAGGAATACGTGTCTCTCAGCGTCGGCCTCGAGGGGCGAGCACACCCACAAAGAGGCATCGGAAGCACAGTCCTTATGCAATTAGTTCACTATCTTTAGCGGTTTCCTCTTACTCTGCTCTCTACTTTTTAAACACTCGGCTCCCCCCACCCCTTCATATATGGTCATACAAGTAAAGGTGGTGTTCCTGTGCTGTGGGGACGTGTGGAGGTCACAGGACAAGCTTCAGAGTTGGTCCTCACCTCCCACGTTATTTGAGACACGGCCTCATACTCCAGGCTGGCCTGTGAGCGTCCTGAGGTTCTTCTGCAGACCTCTTGCCTCTCCACAGCCCAGAGATTCCAGACATGTACCCCTGAGCCTGGCTTTACTTTGGTTCGGGAGATGCTTTCCCCACTAAGCCAGCCAGCCTCATTCTTCTTGAGCTTCGTCAAACTGATAAGGACCTAGCAGCTAGACATTTTTCCTAGAATTGAATGTGCCCCTAAGTTTTTCACATTCACCATCTAAATAAACTGCGGTATCTCCTGCAAAAATAAGCTCATGCTGTTTGAGTCAGAGTGAAAGAATGTAAGGTCCTGTCAGGTGTGCTGTCTATTCTTAAATTTCTCTGTCCTCTTCCTCCTCCTCCTCTTTTTTCCTTCTCTCGCTCTCCTGACTATTTTTTCCCCTTGAGGGTTTTTTTTTTCTTTCTTGAGACAGAACTCTGTTTTATAGCCCAGGCTGGTCTTAAACTCATTATCACGCTATCTCATCTTCCCAGGTGCTAAGATTATAGATCTGGGTCAGCACACCTGGTTAGTTACTTCTCAATTCCTGCTCACTTTCAACGAATCCACACCCCTGAAATTGCTCATAAAGTACAGCCGAAGCAGAAGGAAAAGGACTGGGAAAGTCCAGCATCTCATTTAAACCCATGGCATTTGGCCAATAAGCAATTATTCCTGTCCGTGAACACAGGATATCTTCCTCTAGTTGTATGACTTGAAGTCTTGGAACTAGACTTTTTTTGGGTAGGGATGCTCAGGAAGGAAGCCAAGATGTCACACATGTTACCAAGAACCCAGTCACTGTAGAGCTTGTAGTTTTTGTTTTTGTTTGCTTTTTGGAAGCTTCCCTATGTAGATAATGGGTGAGATCTTGGGTGAATGCTTGTCTTTAGCCTCCCTATTGTGAAGCTTTGCAGTGTTTAGAAAAATGAAGGAGAGAAGCGAACAATAATTAGCAGTGATTCTGAGCTGGGAAGGGGACACCTGTATGTCTGTACAAGGCCCCAAACTCTTAGTTTCATCTTCAAAGTCTCATTGTTGTTGATTTATCAAGACAATTGTTTATCCTTCTCCATTACATGCGAAGACATAATCTAAATGAGCCTAGAAGTATTGCTCATGCCTGTTTTCTGGAACTGTAAGCTTCAACATTCTCTGATAGATATTAATAAACATATAAGTGTAAATATGTAGTAAATCCATTTCTACAATTCAATGGGTTTCAAAATTAACCACAAATTCAATATGAGCTCATTCTAGTGAGTTAAGCAGTGTTTTTTTTTAACTTTTATTAATTACACTTTATTCACTTTGTATCCCTCCATAAAACCCTCCCTTCTCCCATCCCAATCCCACCTTCCCTTCCCCTTCTTCATGCATGCTCCTCCCCAAGTCCACTGATAGGGGAGGTCCCCCTCTCCTTCCTTCTGATCTCAGTCTATCAGATCTCATCAGGAGTGGCTGCATTGTCATCTTCTGTGGCCTGGTAAGGCTGCTCCCCATTCAGGGGAGGCCAATCAGAGCAGGCCAATCAGATTATGTCAGAGGCAGTCCCTCTTCCCATTACTATGTAACCCACTTGGACACTGAACTGCCATGGGCTACATCTGTGCAGGGGTTCCAATTTATCTCCATGCATGGTACTTGGTTGGAGTATGAGTCTCTGGAAAGACCCCTGTGTTCAAATTTTCTGGTTCTGTTGCTCTCCTTGTGGAGTTCCTGTCCTCTTGTAGCAGCTTTATTTGTAATAGCCAGAAGCTGGAAACAACCCAGATGCCCCTCAGCTGAAGAATGGGTACAGAAATTGTGGTACATCTACACAGTGGAATATTACTCAGCAATGAAAAATAAGGAAATCATGAAATTTGCAGGTAAATGGTGGGAACTGGAAAGGATCATCCTGAGTGAGCTATCCCAGAAGCAGAAAGACATACACAGTATATACTCACTCATATAGACATATAATATAGGATAAATCTACTAAAATCTGTACATCTAAAGAAACTAATCAAGAGGGAGGACCCTGACTAAATGCTCAACCCCATCCCAAAAGGCAAAGAGGATGGACATCAGAAGAAGAAGAAAACAGGAAACAAGTTAGGAACCTGCCACAGAGGGCCTCTGAAAGGCTCTGCCCTGCAGACTATCAAAGCAGACACTGAGACTTATGGCCAACTGTTGGGCAAAGTGCATGGAATCTTATGAAAGAGTTAAGCAGTGTTAACTCTACAGAATATTATACATGGGGCGGAGGGGGGGGGATCATGAGAATCAGGAAGTGAGTGAGTTTGGAAAGAAACTGTGAAAAGTAAGATGATCCAAACTCAAAGCTGAGGACTTCAGCCAAGTTCAGCCTTTCTTAACAGGAGTCAAGGGCTCAGAGCACTAATGGGATGAGAGTGACTCAGCTGAGCCCTAAAAGCATGTGCTAGCCAACCAGGGGCCCAGGATCTCAACAGCTCTGATTTAGAACAAGTGTGATAAGCAGACTGACCCCCAGCGTCCTGCTCTGAATGACGGCTCCGTGGGAAATGTTCAGCTGCAGGTGTTTGGAGTTTCTTCTGGAAGAACCCCCAGCAGCTTTCTTAGCAGCTCGCATAGCCTGCGATGCACCTTATCCCGTGTCTGTGACTCTGTGGCGTGTGCTTGTGCTCTTACACTGAATGTTGTCACTCTGCGTGATGCACCTGTCACCCTGAGCTACTGTATTCTGGCTGTCTCATACCTATCAAGGGCACGAGCCGCGGTTTTTCTTTCCCCCCACTCCCCGGGGCTTGGGTACTATGCGCAGCGTAACATGTAAACTCGCAGCTAACAACACCGGAGGGGAAGTATGCCTTCCACAGTCAATAAAGGCCGCAGAACTTCTCGGCTTAGGAAACAAAATGTTTATTGCAATGCATGTAGATAAATTATTGCCAGCATAAAACTGCTAATGGAGTTTTCAGCATGGATTCCATTAACTCTTAAAGTGAAGTGAGGCTTTGAAAGTTCATTGTCCCATAGGAAAAATATTATATTTCTCTGTTTGGATAAAGTCCTTTAAAAAAGCAAATCAGCTTTGAAATGTTCTTTAAATGTCTTCAGCCTATGAACATACAATAAAACAAAAGGTATATTAAAAAATATAACTGTTTCTTTAAAAGGAAAAAATTAACTACAGATGCCGCAGCGGTAAGACAGACGGGAAAATTATCATGTGAAGTTCTAACATTTTTCTTCTGTTTTATTAGTATATCCTAAAATACTTAAAAATAATTAAACAATAAAAGCACTGATTACAACTGATTATAAAATATACAAAATACAGTAACTTCACTTTTAATATTTAGGGGAAAGGTCAACCAAAATGCTGTCTCCTGAAATAAATAATTTTTAATCACTGTGATTCCAATGATTTAGAAATATGATCCAAAGTGGATTTTAATTTTCATTTATACATAAGTAGCGTTTTATAAAAAAACTCAAATTAATAAATAGAATATGAGGGTGTAGAAGAAAATTTGAGGGAACAGCTGGAGCTATGTACAGTAATAGAAGTTAATGGTTGATTCCTCTGTATCTAACACTCCCAGGCAGCTGATTAGGGGTACTCAATTTCAACTTCATGCTCCACGCTGACCTGTTTGGACGCCCCCATGTGCTGCTGCTGTCCGTCTCCAATGGAGAGTCTGTTGAAGGGAATTATCTTCATGGTGGTTTCCTTCATGGAATACCAGCGGCTTTTCCAAGTGGCCCAGATAATGCCATTGTCATAACCGTTAGGGGTCGCTGCCTTTGAGTAAGTACCACCTGCAAGGAATCAGAGATGCTTGACTTTTACCCTTACATCTCCTCACCTCAGAGCCCATTAGAATCATTATGAAGTTTATAGCACCTCCTCCTAACTGAAAACATCCCCAGAGATTCCAAAAGCCAACAAGCCATGTTAGGGCCCATGTTAGGGCCCATGTTCACACTTTAATGTATTCATTATTGTTCGTGCTGGGACACCTATCTCTCCCTGTCTTTATCGGTCTTTTTCTGTCTCTGCCTCTCTCTGTCTCTGTCTCTCTCCCTCTCCCGGGCCCCTCTCTCTCAGCAAATGGAGGCAAGCCTGCATTCAGGTTCCCATGGTCAGGGCCACAGGTTTCTCCTCAGGTGGTTGGTCTGACATTGCATGACAGCACAACCTTCTGGCTAAAGGAAGACACTATTAAGGGCTTTAGAAAGTATCTCTAGAAAGCTGTTCTATGCAGTTTCTCATCAGAAGACGGGGCCATATTCTAATTCCTTCAAATATCCTTTAGTGTCGATGGGGTCTCGCCATACCAAACACTTTCAGCCTTACAGAATCCGTCACCTCCCCGTACTAAGCCAGGCGTCTACAGTTCGGGGCTAGATCCTTCACAGGCTTTTACAACCCTCCACTCTCACAGATACTCTTTGCCTCTTATTCCACTTTTGACATCTCTTCACTGCCCACTGCTTGTATCTGACAACCAGTCCATGGACGGCTGAGCCAGGGTAATGTGTCCACAAGCACAGATACGGAAATTCTAGTCCATCTACATCGTATACACGGTCGGTTTAAAGGAGATACCCCTGACCCCAATTCCAACTCAGACAATGAGAGTTTCATTACACTATCAAAACACTGATGTTTCCTAGGAGTTGAAGGTCCTATAGAGGTGGCCATTGTAGGCAAAAGCTTAATATTAGTTAAGACAATGCCAGCCGGATAATTAGTGTTATCTGATTTCAAATGAAGAGCTCTGAAATAAAAGGCTTGCACTATAACTCTCCATCTCTCTGCTTCTGTTATTACCTTCCACAACACATCTGTTACACAAATACTCATAACTGAAGAGAAAAAAATACCTTTGTAATAAACGCCATTGAGGTGGCCAGCATGACATTTGTTCATCCACCAACCGGATCCATCCTGTTCAGCACAGTTGCCTTCAAACTTATCATTATCACTGTCCCAGGTACTGAACTGCATGCCATTGTGGGATGTGAAAAACTTGTCACTGGGATCATCTCCAAAATCATAGCCATCAAAGGCATCGCCGGCATCTCCACCAATGAAGTAGGCATAGGTCAGGCGGTATTTGTCGGCTTCAGAACTCACCCTGAACGTAGCGTAGTCTGCAGTGCTGTGAAGATGGGATGAAAAGAAAAGCTCTCGAGTCACAGGCCAAGGCAGACAAATGAAGCGATGTTCTCTGCAAATGCAGGCGGTGCCCAGGCACACCAGCACAGAGCTCTTCCCTGCCTCCCAGGACAGATCTAAAAGTCTTCACCAAATCCCAGAATCTCACAGAATCTTACAATCAAGTGAAAACATATGGGTCAATTTAATTATTTCTGCTTTCATTTAACTTGTGTTAGCATTATACACGATAACTGTAGGTCGCAATAATTATCTACAATGAGTCAGCCTATGCCCTAGATTTGAAGAAGAGGGGTTTCAGCATCCATTCCTCCCACTTAAAGCATAAGAGCATGAATGAGTTTTCTTTCCCAAAGTAGTGGCCTACTGGCAAAAAGAGGCCTAGAATGTCATGAACCCTATGTGATACATGAAGCGAGAGCCACAAGAGTCAGAGAGACCTCCTCTGGGAAAATTTGTGAAGGAAGCTACAGTTCTGCTGAGCAGAGAGAATATGGTTCTTTGTGAACAGAGATTTCCAGATATTTAATCTGGAATATTTTATATTTAATCTCTTCCCCAATATCTCATACTTGGGAAATGGAGGATACATACATAGAAAAAAGCCTGCTGTCTATGATAGTTTGAGGATTAAAATCAAAGTTAAAAAACATGTTTGGAAATAGAGCATGTTTCATTATTTCATATCTAATAAGCTTTTTTTTTTTTTCATTTAAATTAGATAATCTTGAAACCTAGCAGCTCTGGAGATCACTATAGGAATCATTTAATTTTAAGGTGGTCCATAATTTGACTGAATTAAATGAATGGGAAATCTGATGCTTGGATTTGATTGAATTTAATTTCATACTCAATTTCTGGTTCATATTTAACACCCCCTAGCCATTATTGAATGTTCTCAAGGTATGTAAACTGTACTGCGACACCCATATCCCCACTGGAGGAGACCTAGCCTGGCTCACTCTTTGGTCTGTCCAAGAACCAAATGTACAACCCAGGAAAGAGCCTAGACTAGATACACTTTTTGCATTTGTCAGGTTGTTTGCTGTTTGCCCGTTGCCAGTTGCACAGGGTCCTTTCAGCTGACCACATGTCAGCAGCTGAGAATGCTGTAGCTGATGGCCAGGGCAGGAAGTTGAAGTCTCCCCCGTACCGTACCTGGTTCTGCCGTTCCAGTCCTTGAGCTCTATTCTCAGGGCATATGGGATTTGGGACTGCATGCTTATCAAATGGATCTTCTCATTTCCCAGCCAAAACTCTGTGGTGCCAGTAGGAGACAGGTGTCCAAACCCTTCTTTGTACTGAACCCAGTTCTTCTTGAAATCCAAGCTGCCGTCAGTTCTCTAGTCACACAGCAACACAGGCCACACAGGTCAGAGGGGAGGGAAGGTGATGGGTGCATATAAAGAAACAGTGTTCAAAAGATGGAGGAAATGATTCTGCCAAAGACCAGCTAACTGTAAGCTGTCTCCATTTCACCACCCATTAAACAGAATGATGATGCTCTGTGGATCATACACACACACACACACACACACACACACACACACACACACACATGCACGCATACATGCAACCACACACACACATGAGCACGCACGCACGTGCCTGTTATGTGCTTGTTTCTACATTAATGGTAGGGGTATTTTGTTGTAGTTATGTTGTTTGATTTTTTTTTTAAAGACTCATGGAGGATTTCAGAACTCACAAGTACACAAAGGTAAAAAGCCAATTTGCAGTGAGTACAAGACAGGCAGATGCCCAGATCAACCGGGTTGCGTATTCTGAGGGGCTGGGGGTCATTAGTGGCCAGCCTTAGCTCTTGATCTGAGGAAAGAGGTCTCTCCTGTGCCTTGTCACTAAACAGCTTGGATTATGTGACCATATGTGGAACGGCAGAGTCAGCACCGGACTCAAAGCAGAGCAGCTGGGCTGCTGGATTCAAATCCTGCCTGTTGCTCATCAAACAGTTTGGATTATGTGACCATATGTGGAACGGCAGAGTCAGCACCGGACTCAAAGCAGAGCAGCCGGGCTGCTGGATTCAAATCCTGCCTGTTGCTCATCACTTAGGTGGCCTCATGCCTCAGAGTCTCTGCCACAAGTTAAGGTGAGGATAGTCCTCACCTCAGAAAGGCCGCAGTGACTTGGAGCGGGCTGACATTCACACAGGGCTTAGAGGAGCCCTGGAGCAATGCGGGCATTTTTTTACTCTATGTGCTGCCGAGGCAGGCAGTTACCTTCTGCAGCACGGTCCAGCCATTTCCAGAGCTGTCGATTTCACAGTACACCAAGAACTGCTGCTTAGCTTTCAGAGGCCGAATAAAGTAAAGTCCACTTTCTCTGGCACCCTTGTTGGCAATTTCTTGACAATCTGATGTGGAAAAAAAATCTTCTGCTGTGGCCTGGACTCCAGATAGGGCGTTAGCAGCCTCCCCAACCCCTCCTGTCATCATTCTTTCCATATTATTGATTGATACCAAAGACAGTTTTGGGCAGTTGGAGCCCTTACATTTAAAGCCATATGCTTTCTGTAGCTGCTACACACTGTGAGGTACGCAACTGCTTTTCTTTTGGCTGTTTGCTTCAATGACCCTGATCCCAGGTTAAACTTCTTACGTACCTTTCCCAGTTGTGTCATGGATTTGCACAGTGTCCTTGCAAGGCTCCTGGCACTGAGCTTCAAGCTGGGCTACCTTCTGTTTCAGGTTCGTGATCTTCTGGTTGTTGGAATTATAGATTTCCTGTAAATACCTAGAAACAGAGCAATGCAGTGAGAGGGGAGAGGCGTTCCTTTCAGAAGAACACGTTTTTATTCTTCTATTAGAAACACTGCTTCGTTTCACTCCTTTGTGATCCTTTACTTCATCCTTGGGAAACTGTAGAATTAAGTTGAAGCTTTGTGGAAGATAAAAATAAAACCCCAATCTGTTTCAACGGGAGTGTAATTGGGACTTGGATGAGGCAGGCAATTTCAGCTTTGAGCACAAACAGCAAAGTCCCTGTCAATAAACAAAGGTCGGCATAGATGGCTTTTCTGGCTCTCGCCTTCCCTGCCAGGGGAATCAGTAATACCAAGGAAGGTAGGTCTGGCTGAGGCTCACATGTGCCATTAGGGACTTTCCATCTGTTCTGTGCCTTACATGGGAAAGGTAGCTAAGACCCTGCTTCACTATACAGGAAACAGTAGATACTTTCCATTTCTGGTCCTGCTTTCTAGAACACCTGGTGAGAGTGAGCCTTCTGCCCTGGTCATTCCTCACAAGGTTGCTTATGAGTCTTCAGACACGAGCGACAACTACGAACAATGCCTAAACTGCTGTGTCTGTCTCTGAAGTGAAGAAGAGTGACACATTAGCGGACCACCTTGTTCCTCTGTCAATGCTGAGGGAAATAGTGGAAATGATCATGATAATTGTAGCAACAATAACGCTACGGTCTGATAGCAGCAAGAAGAGAAACACTTTTGAGGCCATCTCTCCCCAGCTCCCATCTAGCTCAGTTTCCAGTGGGGCTGGGAGGTCAGCTTTGAGGAAAGTCAGGAAAGGTGTTAAAGCTGAACCTGAACACTTCCCAGAGTGCCTGGGAAGCTGGGTGTGAGGACGGAAGACGGGGGACAGTCCCAGCTCTGTGCGCTGGCTGCAAGGCGTTCACTCTCCTCCACCTTTGACATGATTTTCTGCAGCAGCCAAGAGCCTTCTTCGGTCTCTGTTTTCTAATTTCTTAATGATTTGATGATATATTTGTGAAGAAGATTTTATTTTCCACACCCCAATTCCCATGTATTTGATTTTACATTGTAGCGGGATGGGAGGCATTCAGGTAAACAGAGCAAGAATGGCATTTGAAGACATCCACAATAACTTTTCTCCAGTATGATTATTTTTAAAAATCATAAAGCCGTACAACTCCTTTTGTATTAAAAACTCCTATCTCCACTGGGCTAATGCTAATTTGGCATTATAAATAAAAAAACAAATTCCAAGATGACTTTCTGTGAAATGTGGAATATTAAGGAAAACCCCATTCTACTTTGGAGAGTTAAATTAAATCCCAGCCACTTACTGAATGCCTGTCTCGTGGGTTAATAACAGCGCTTCGTATTTCACAATGTCTTCTACCATCTTCTTAGACTTCTGGGTGGCACTGTCTATCATATCTGTAACAGGACAGAAGAATCACTTAAACAAACAGAATGCCTGCAAGCTGGAAAGGCAGCTCCTCAGCGGGGGTTCTCACTTGGCTTTGGCGGCTGGTCGGGCTTGTAATAGATTTGGATTGCTTTGATCAGCTCTCTGGCTTCTGTAGATCTGTTTTCAGCTCTGTTTAAGATGTCTTCCAGCGCCTGCAGGTCTTTGTCCACTTCGGTTTGGTAAGAGGACAGGAAGTCTGCTATTCCACAGGTGGTTGGGCAGTAACTACCCTGCAAGTCAATAAGGAGGCAGCTAACACCTTGGAAGAGAAGTCTATACAGAGTCAACCATTTCCCCAAAGCTTAAGGTGTCAACAGGTATATGGAAGAACTGCCCTGGTTTTCCACCCTTCTCTAGTTTCAGGAAAAGGAGAGACATAAAAACTACTTACGAATCTCTCATCTAAGATGCAACAGTTATCTCTGGTAGCAACGTACTGTGGAAGAAAAACACAGACATTTTGCTAGTGGCCCCAGTCCTTTCTCTCTCTCTCTCTCTCTCTCTCTCTCTTTCAAACAAGACACAGACACTTGTCTTGAAGGTCACTTACGGCTAGGCCCGCAGGAGAGAGCAGTAGGAACGTGAAGCATAGAAGGGAACTGCGGGGCCGCAGGGACTGACTCATGGTGTCTGGGTGACCGGCTGCTCCCAGCCCCTCACAGCCGCTGTGACCTCTTGGGTCCTCCTTTGGTCCTTTATGTGAGTTCTCAGTCTGGGCGGGACTAAGAATGGCTGGAACTGGTCACGGGGCCTCTTTACCAGAAATGTGAGCTCTTTCTGCTCATTCTGGCTGCCAGCTGTGCTCTGTCGGATTCCCAGATTTTGCACACAGGTTTAAGCCCCTCCTTTTTGGGCTCAGCCCAACCTGTCTCTCAGACCCACAGGTACCTGCAAAGGCCAGCAGAGCATTGGCTGCTGCTCTGAGGACTGACAGAGGTTGCGTGATGCAATTGCTTCCAGTACACTGCCACCAGGAGAACAAACACGGGGTTCTGACCTCCAGCAACAAAGCCAGCGGATCGCGAGGTCTGGCCTGCTGCGGCCACAGCCATTACTGAAAACCTGTGGTAGCCCAGGGGTGGAGCGACACTGTTATTTTTGTAGTGATTACAGGAGGCAGCCCTTCCTTGCTTCGTGTCTCACTTCTGTATCCCCACGAGTGAATCACGCTGGAAGCGGGTCCCTGTCCGTCTGTGCCGTCCTGTTTCTCAGGTCGACGCTTACTGCTTTGGGTTCAACTTGTCCGATGACTGGGAGGGAGGCTGGCTCCCTGCCACAGAAGGGAAGGAGTTAGGAGCGCACTGGTGTGTCCCAAAGCCTCATGTAGTCTGGAGGGAAAACCTGGACTCAGAAATCCCCCTTCCTCAGCCGTCATTAGAAGCCTCTGTGGAGAAGGGACAGAGAGAGACATGGAGAAGGTCTGTCGTCTTTGTGGGAAGAGGCCTCACCACCCCCTCTTTGGTAATGGCGAGCAGCTGTAGCACTGTTCCTAATGCGCACACCTGCTCACCTCCTCCCGAGACCACACTTGCTACAAATTGCGATGAACTATGCAACTGGGAGAAATGCACTAATTTGAAATAAGCACTAACGTTTTGATATTTGACTTGAAGTTTTTCCACAAAGGAATGTCTGCTTTGACATAAAAACAAAGAAATGTGTGTGCTCTGTAGTTAGTCGGGAATCATTTTAACAGAGTGAACTCATCAAACCAAAACATGGCCATTCCTCTTCCTGACCAGATTGCTCTCCACTTCAGTCACTTTCTGCTGCAAGACATTTGCCAGTCTTCTTACAGGGTAGCTCCGACTGTGCCGTTTAGATGCTTACAGACCCTTAGCAACCCTCCTCTCCTGAAGTAGTGAACATAAACTACACATCTCTCCTCCTAGACTTGGTGCTTTTTCTATTCTGCATCCTCAAGTATTACTTAAATAGCTTCTCAGCATGCTCTTCTGTGCAGCATGTAGCCCTATTTCTGATTGCCTGTTTCTGCTTTGTACTTTTTTTTTGGGGGGGGGGACTAGTTTTCCAACATTCATAGGAGTTACTCAATTTCTGGCAAAAAAAAAAAAAGAAAAAGAAAAAGAAAAAAAATTAAACCAGAAATCCTGCTTTCTGGAGGTCAGCCTCCTCTTTCACAGCAGCACCCCAAAGCCAGCTCTGTTTTTTTAAAGACTTATAAGAACCTTGCATTATAAACCGGATTAATCTACCATTGAAAACTCAGTGTCTGCTACAGCACCTAGCAGAGAGAGAGAGTTAACGTTCAACAGTTACTGAATGACTTTAGCTGATGGGGCTGGAAGGAAGTCGATTTTCACGCTGAGAGTCCTTGCGTTCTTATGTTCTAAATTGCAAAAGTAAGTGAGGCACCTCACGCCGCCCTGCTAGGTAGAAGTGGAGGGCACGCTGACATTCGTGCTTTAAAAAAATGGCAAGAGAATGCATGAACATGCCTTTCATGTCTTCAAGAGGACTCACCTGCAGTTACTTATTTTATAATTATTATTTCTTGACAGCCAGACGTTAGTGATTCCTGTGAATGTGGGCAAACCAGGGCAAGGAAAAAGCATAAATCAGAAAAAAAAACAACCAAAAACGAGAATGCAGAAAAGAAACCTTAGCTCCGTGGTTAAGGAGTAGCTCTGTGAGGGACAAGACTGGGAGAAAGACTTCATTTTCTTGGGCTACTTTATTTCTACAATTTTGAACACATGTACATATTATCTACTCAAAACACACAGTGGTTGGCCATCTGCCGTGGTTTATATGTTGTGCTAACACTTACTTGTTGGCTGTTACTAATATTGTTGTTTAGGGTTCTGAGTTTTCCAGTTAGGACCTCCCTTGTGCCTCACAGAGTATGGTTCAACTTCTGATGACTTTGCTGATTTGAGTGGAAAAGGATGATTAAAACATGGATTTAAACTAATAAAAAGAGCAATTGGCAAGGACATCATCTTGTTGCTGAGGGTCCTGGGGTCCCTGTGCCTGGGTTGAATCCCATCTGTATGCCTCACTAATGTGTGTCCCTTACCACCCTGTCTTTTATAGCTTGTGTTAGCAGACTAGAAATAACGTTTCTACTTACTTATAGGAGTCTCACCTGAACTCAGTGGGCGATACATTGATCACCTTTGTTTGATTCATAAAGCACAGTGAATGCTTTTAAGGCTTATAGTGTGCAGAGTGTTTTATGCAATGTGTGTAAATAGAAATTTCCCTATTTCCATAGACTTCTAATAGGAATTCTTACTAGTATGCGGTATTAATGAAAAATAAGTTCTGTTGCAACTACAGAAAGTTCTCTTAATAAATGATCTGTTGTGGTTAACTACAGTCTAGAAGGCTCCATAGAAAAAAGGAGCTCATGGTTACCTAATTGAGGCGTTGCTCCTCCTAACTGAAGGTTAATCCTCAGAGAGTAAGTGATGAAAACCAGACAGATGCCTGGCTGAAAGGTGCATGATAGTTTCAGAGCCAAGTGTAGACAGACATAACACAATATGCTTCTCTCTATGGGTCTTTGCACCAAAGAACAGAAAATACTCAAATTTCAGGCCAAAGTCATTGCCACAGATTGGCTGTTGGGTATTTAACTTCATAAAATTCGATTAGTTGTATCAAAGGGCATTACAGCAGTAAAACTGATAGACCGAAGAAACAAAGGAACCTATTGTGTCCCATGATTTTAGAATTGGAACATTAAAAACAGATTTACCTATTTTTATCCCATGTGTATGAGTGTTTGTTTACACGTATGCACAGTGCCATATGTGTGCCAGGTGCTGGGAGAGTCCGGAAGACAGTTCTCTGGAACTAGCTCTCGGCAGCCATGAGCCACCATATGTGTCTAGAAACAGAACCCGGATCCTTTGCAAGAGCAGCAGGTGGGTTTAACCATTAGTCATCTCTCCAGACCCTAAACTGAAATACTTTTATTCGTTATGAGTTATCAGAGCTTTACAAAACTGATCTGTGTGTGTGCCAGGCTCAAGCCCTAGGTCTAGTGACCTACTTTGCTCTTGCATTGTTTGGTTCCACTTTGGCTAATTATATTTTAACTAATTGCTCCCCTTTGTGTTTGGACCACGCTTTTCTCGGATAAATGATAAATGATTAATGAATTCCTAGGAAGGGGAGTATTTCTTAAATCAAATCTCCTCCATTTCTGTTTATTTATAGAGCAAACACTAATGTGTTCTTTAAGCCAAATATTTTTTAATTTCAATTATAATTTATTTTTTTAATTTTTATTAATTACACTTTATTCACTTTGCATCCCCCCTGTAGCTCCCTCCCATCCCAATCCCTCCCTCCCTCCCCCTTCTCCACGCATGCCCCTCCCCAAGTCCACTGATAGGGGAGGTCTTCCTTTCCTTTCTTCTGATCCTAGTCTATTAGGTCTCATCAGGAGTGGCTGCATTGTCTTTCTCTATGTCCTGGTAAGGCTTTTCCCTTCTCAGGGGGAGGTGATCAAAGAGCAGGCCAATCATTTCATGTCAAAGACAGTCCCTGTTCCCATTACTGTGGAACCCCCTTGGACACTGAGCTGCCATGGGCTACATTTGTGCAGGGGTTCTAGGTTATCTCCATGCATGGCCCTTGGTTGGAGTATCAGTTTCAGAAAAGACCCCTGTGCCCAGATTTTTTGGTTCTGTTGTTGTCCTTGTGGAGCTCCTGTCCTCTCCAGATCTTACTATTTCCCACTTCTTTAACTTAATATGATTTCAAGGGCACAGGGTTGTGAGAGCAACAATCCTTCAAGTTCCCTGCCAGCTGCGCTTTAACTTGGAGTTCCATTTGTGACGAGTGATCTTCCCACACACTGGCGGCTCCTTCTGTCAAGTTGTCTGCCGGCCTTGGCTCAGAACCAGTCACCAGCAGCAGTGACACCCTGTCCTGGAGATCACACATAGGCCTGAAGGCATGACAAGAGCCACAGTTTGGAGCGTCGTCCTCATGCTGGGTGCTGTGCTGCAGCTCAGTGGTTTCCACTTGTGTGCAGGCCACAAAAACAACCAACCAACCAAAGTGAAGACCAGAAACATCAAATTCTGCTCACAAGAACGTGTGAGCAGACATCTAAGCCTGTGAAGACACAGGTCGGGGAAATGGCAGGCCCTCTACTCAGAGAAAACTGTCATCATTTTCCACATCAACAATATATTTTTTGAGGTGCCAAGAGGAAGGGAAGAGTCTAAATTATTTTTGCACCCACAAAACAACTCCTCATGCTTGCAAGCAGTCTACACTCGCTTTATCCTGCAGCCTTGAATGAAAACAAATGAAACACATAGAAGAGCGAGTTTTTGTATTCAGTTTTCACTGCCAGGGCTGTTTACCACCATTCTGTGACTGCACATTTGTCCTTCATCATGAAACCCGTGGACAAAGGCTAGCTTTGTGCTGACATCTTGAAATCCTGGCTTCCTAGGGTCACCAAGGGGAACATATTCCAGTCACCTTCCCAGGCAGCTTGCTGCGCCTCCTTGTTCCACCTTACATGTGGGAGCGCTGACCTCCACTTCATAAACAGGTCAGATGTGCACAAACAGGTAGGTCAGAAGCCAAATATTTACTGAATGTTTTGCAAGAAAGACTAGAATGCAAGCCCATTTGGCCAATAACTGCCACAGCCATGGCTTACAGAACGTGGCCTCTCTGCAACATTCACTGTCTCGGACAAGCTCATTGATGTGGAAGCAAAGGCAAGTTAAACTTAGAACAGCGTGTTTCATGCTTCACCCATTATGAACACTGCACAGGAAACTCTTACCAA